CAGTGTCACGGCTTCATAACTCATTCGCTATCCACCAAACCTAATGCGAGCTGCTCCATTCATGTCGTTGCGAGTGAGAAAGCTCAAGAAAGACGGTTGTATACAGCAGGCACTTTAAAGGTATTAAAGTTAAGATCTTTCGTTCTGCGCGGAAGTCGGTATGTGACTGATGTGGCTGCAGGAGAGGTGGAGAATCTATATTGCGTCTTTCGTCGTCGTTTGTCTATTATATTCTCTGCTGCAGTTCGACATGTTTAGAAATTTGCCATCGATTATTTTTTTAAATTAAGATTAACTGGTTTTAGACACGCACACAGAGATGAGTGATGTTCTAACTTCATAAAATAAACAAACTACAGAGGTATTGGTTCAGTGTCAGTTTTACACCAGACTGTATGCATCGTACGCATGCAGTGATTATTGTGCTTTTTGTATCCATCTGGCTGCATTTGGATCCTTTGGATTCTGATTTGGATTCTAAGCACTTGTTCACATCAGCTGCCGCACATAAAAATGGATGAGCACGAAAAGATGCTCCTGCATTCTTGAACTAATGTGTTATTGTTATCGGCGTCCAACACTAAATGCAGCTTGAACAGAAAGGAACAAACTGCTCGGTATAAAACTTATTGAAACAATAGACGAATAGTGCAAGAGTCAATTTCTCGATGTCGCATATTTCGTGCCTTCTCAAGTGCTAGTTTCTGATGACATGCTCGGCTTAGCGTTTTCTCTTCTGCGAATACGACTTCTTATCGCCATGCGTTTTTCGTCTGTTTTTGCCACATTTCGACACTTGATTTATGTCACAATTTGATCTTTCGCCTGTTTTTCGACCGGGACCACATTTTTGCGTATGTTTTTCCTTTTTCCCGGCCTCGTAATGCTTCTTCGTAGTTCTGAGCCCACCTCGTCGCCGTGGAATTGTCTCTTCTTGCGGTATTGCACAGCAGGAGGATCCACGAGGATGCGGTTTACGTTTGCCAACAGCGATTTTCTGTACAGCTCAGTTTTTGTCTTTGCGGTGTTGAGGTTTATTGGTGTAGCGAAACTCAAGGGATAAGCGAGTGAAAAATATGCAGATGTGTAAGTAGCTAAGTCCAAAGCATCAATGTGTAATTATAAGTAAGCTAGTAAATTAGCAAATAAATAAGTAATTGAATATGAAAATCTGCAATTGGGTTAATAAATGAGAAACTAAGAGCATGTAGGTGTTTGAATGTGTAAGTAGTAAACATATGAATGAAAGGTGAGTAAATAAGAAGGTCAATATGTAAGTGGGTTAATGAGCAAATCGGTAAGAAGACAAGTTAGAAATTTAGTGAAAGTCAGTAAGTAGGCAAATAATTGGGAGTGAACGAATAAACTAGTCAATAAGCAGATGGATGAATAACTGAGTAAGTAAACAAACAAACAAGTAATGGAGTAAGTCTGTCAACAGGTAAGTGAGCGCATGTGTAGGTTTTCGTAAGTAAAGGTAGATAGGCATATATCCGCGTAGATCTATAAGTATGTAAATTTGTATTGAACGAACAAGTCCGTACGTTTGTAGGCATGCATACAAGTGTAGTTCAACTATGTATCCAAGTAAGAGTAAGTAGGCTCATACACATAATAACGTGAATTAGTAACTAAGTGAGTGCGTCCTAAGCAAGGAATTCACGGCACCTTTAGTTTGTAGTTTTATGAAGAAGTCTTGTAGAAGAGCTGTAAAATTGTGCCATTGTTTAGTTTACTTGGATTTTCTCGGTAGCTTACCTGTGTTTCCTTTGTATATGTTGAACAGAGAGAATTTTTAACAATGTTGTTCATGAATTAAATTTTTAAATTTGAACTAGGGGCCAGGATTATTTTCTCTAGATGCTGGAGCCACGCACAAGAAGACTCTGGAAAGCAGTCACCGAGGAATTGACTGTCTGGAAGGTTTTTCTCTGTGCCCTATATTTTTCATATTTGTGCAATCCGTCAAATGCGTCCGCGATGAGACACTAAATTTGTGCATCTGTCTGCCAGCGCGCACTCGTAGTTGTCAAGTGTAAATTACGCAGGTGTCGCGTTCAGATCAGCCGTTTACATCAACGCCTTTCACTGTTTAAATGTGGCGTACATTTTGACTGTCCGATATTTCTTCAGTCACATATGCAAAGCTGTCCGCTTAAGAAGCAGATGCTTATGATTAAGTAG